ATAATAATAATAATAATAATAATAATATTTAAAAAAATATATCATTATTCGTATCAACACTAAGAGTGAATTTTTGTGACATGCAAGCTTTCGTGTGACTTTTAATTAACTAGAACAATCGTCATCCTATATCAACGTTTTTTTCTCTGATATATATAATTATATATTTTATACTTTAATACTTTAGTTCACATATCTAACGCCGGGTAAGTCAATTTGAAATATATACATATCCTTGACATTTAATTGAGTATCACGCAAATAATCTGCTCGACACATGTAAGGAAAAACAAGATTTGATCATTTAAAAATTATAGAATACGTACGAGATAAATCGACATCTCAAAACAGAAATTTGCATGTGAGATTTATATAATGGTAGGATGTTTCATCACATCCTACACGCGAATTACACTATACATTGTTAATGCCTACTATGCATTTATCATCATCTTTTATCATGAAACGGCATTCTCCAGGCACGCTAAGATTTGAGAACGTCAAACTTTCGGATGTAACTGCTATTTCATTAAAATTCAATGTTAATAATGAATTATTCCAACGTATGAAACGTACAAAGCTTTCAAAACGTGCGTCATGATTTTAAAATGTAGACTTATTATTTCGTTTTTTTCTCATAATCCTCGAATGTGATTTAGTAATTAATAAAAACAATATTTAGTATATCTTAAAATCTTATTTCTTAAAAGATTTGAAAAAAATTTATAGCATTATCTCTATTCTTTATAAATATCTGGCTTTCTCCAAGTATTACTTGCATAATTAATTACAAAATTCGGACAATTAATCGCTAAATTTACGAAACATCTGGATGTTTGTCATTATAATAAAGTTTACCATTATAAATACTTGGACAACTCGGTCAAATAAATCGCAGTACAAAGAAGTATTGCATGGAGGTCGATATCAGTGATTGTCTTACGCTGAGGGGAAAACTTATTACGTTGCATTATTACGCATTCCGATATGTTGCGATAAGTAACTACTGTCACAGGCAAAATATTCGTTTGAACAAGATTTAACAGTTGACAGTTTAGCAAAATTTAAATATTTCAAACAACTAAAACGGTATGTAAACACAACAAACATAACATTTGTAATTACAGTACAAATTACGTATTTTTGTAATCCTAATAACGTTACAAACGTTATTATGTCACGAAATTTAATATCTAATAAAGATAAAATTAGATAACTAATAGGATAATATGCAATATTATATAAATTATTGCTGTATAATTTATCGATTTTATTTGCAACTTACGAAAAGACCGCGAAATAAGAATCAAACATAATTAATTTATCAAAGAGAAAGGGTAGAAATACAAAAATTACAATGCATAATTATGCCTTATATACATACAGCAAAACTTATATACTCTTGAATTACGTCAAATAAATGCACCCGCATGTACTTATTTCGATTTTCTAAATTTCCAAAGGCTCTAGCTAAATTTCCTTTTACTTCTTCTTTGTTTACGTAAATGTAACTTTTACTAGAATTTTTTTAATAAATATTACGTTACGTCACTCTTCCTTTTCTTCGTTCGAGTGGCCACTCATTTAACTCTACACGGTATAAGCTGTCTGGATAGCCGCAAAAGTGCAATCGCCTTTTGCGTGCGTAAAGCACGCACACGTGTATGTTCTAATAAGAAAATCTTGTTTGAGAGGTGGACTTTGACTCAGAAAAAAAAAAGACTAGCGCCGGATGTTTTTGCCCCATTTAATGTAAGAGATATGCTGTTGACAGATGTTGTTACGAAAAAAAAACCACATAGTAAATTTTCATTCGCGTATGTAAAAGACATAACTCAATAGATCTGTTTTTTGTCGCTGCACTGAACTACACTATAATTTTCTTCTCAATTTCGCCAAATTTTAAATATATATATATATAAACGGCATAATGGCCATGTAGCATGCTCCGAAAGATGATATTTTCTCTGAGTGGAATGACTTTGGAGGAAAATGTGAAGGGAAAAAAAAATCGTTACTGCAATCTGTAAATAGACAGTGTTTAAAAATCGAGAATTGTCATAAATCAAAATGTTTATAATAACACACGACATACCGTAAAAGATTTCTTTTCTTTAATTTTTCTTAAGTAAAATGTTTTCGGAAAGGACAGAAAATACGGAGGGAAAGAGAATTATTTGGAAACTTAATGAAAAATTATAATAGAATTAGAAAACCATAGAAGACGATAGAATAAAAGGGATTCCGCAAGTGTAGGTCAGTGCGCCGCCATTTTGGACATAAAAAAATATAAAAATATTTTTTTGGTTTCTTATATACTATGTACAACAATGTCCTCTAAGCAGATTTTAAATAAATTTATCCATTTATCCACAAAAAAATCCCAAATTTAAGATATCATTTTAAAACCTCAAAGATAGCATGATCCCTTAAAGAAAACATCTTTCACGGTATGTCACGTTATTGTTATTATAAACATCTTGATTTGACAAGTCTCGATTTTTGAACACTGTCTATATTTACAGGTTGCAGTAACGATTTCTCTTCCCTTCGCATTTTCTTCCGAGGCCATTCCACTCATTGTCAGACAAAATATCATCTTTCGGAGCATGCTACATGGTCATTATGCTATAAGTATAAACATTTTGATACGATTGACGTAATTCCGTAATAAATTAGCATAACTGTACTTTATTTTTGTGAAGTGTCACCAGACGTGTTCGTTTATATTTACATTTCAAATGCGTAACCGACATACCGAATAATTGGTGTGTGAAATTGGCACCCCTAAATGCAAATTTTAACAATAATATGTGTATTTTTGTCGCATATCGTAACGGCAAATTTTTATTTTTTCTTCCTCTCTTCGAATCCAATTGAATTCTTGTACGTCGTTTTAAACGAGTGTAGTTCAACACATAGAGAAAACAATCGCGTGGGAATTCACACATAATCAAAGAGAAACTGAATAGCAGCTGAATTAGCAATTAAATAATTCACATTTATAAACATTACGTTAAGCTCGCTTAGCAACACTTGTGTTCATGAAGATTAATTAATTTGGCTTATTAGCCAAAGATAGTAAAAGGAGTTTTTTTTTCGGTCGGTCAATCTTCAGTGTAGAACTTTGAACTACTCTGGGAACATAGTTACCAGTTATTCTCTGACAGCTCATTAGCTTGAAAATCAGTAATGCTAATCTTTAATGTTAACAGTACGTGTGTGTCATCTATTGATAAACAATCATACCTATGTTTGCTGATAGAATAAAAGCGTAAATAACTTTGTATTTTTTTAAGTGTTGCTACAGAAGTTAGAACGGTAGTAAAGCGCCTTTCTTTCCGAGAAACGAAATGTCTACAAAGGATGTCCTTTTTCTTTTGAATGACCGCCGCTTGAGATTCTAAATCGTGTTTTTGTTCAACTTACGTAGCGATTCCGGATTATTACCGCGGGCAATAATATGTTGACACGTCGCAATAATTGTGCTGACGCGCGACGACGTCGAGATTGGAAAGCGACGTACGCGTGACGCGGAAGCGCGTTCGACGATAAAACGCTCATTTAAATCACCGCGTATCTCGCGAAGTCTCGTCGTATTTCACCTGGATTCGACATGACGGCTGGCATTTTCTGCAATGTGTACACGTGGCACCGGAGCTCGGCGGAGCTGTGTTGCACCGGGAGAACCGTCGTGGTGTTGAAGGAACAACAAATCTGCTCTCTTTAAAATGCACTTTCTACGCATTCTTTTCCCGTCATCTTCCCCTCTCTCAACATCTCTGTGCCGTATCTTGCGCCGGTTACGCGCAGGTAGAAAAAAAAGCACAACCAGCTATAGAACAGGTCTAACGATGCAATGGTATGTCGCTTGGACACTCGGGAGATATATCTGTTAAAGTGCTTGCCAAATCGAGCAGACGTGTGAAATTCTGGCGGTATCAATATATAAGTAGTTCTAAACACGCGAAATTTCGCACGGCTCCGTTAAAAGTTCGAGAAAAATTTGCAATTTAAAACGCGTTTTTTTTTAATCATTCCTTTATGTAATTAGACGATAAGAAAAGGAATACAAACGGGGATCGTATCTAATCGCCCCTTCCCCTGCCTACTCCTTCCCCAATTAAAGACAGGATTTTGCAGAAGTCTTCTCAAAAAATGCTTGGTTTACTGAGACAGTTATTCACATTAATTTATTAACATTTGACATAGAAGAGAAACATTATATATATCAAGAGAAGGAGAGAATCCAAAATAAAATACAGATATAAATTTTTGAATTGATAACAATAACTGAAGATATCGCGGTTTGCCAAGCAATCTGTGTTGAAGAGCGTCTGCACGGGAAGACATCTTATCTGAGAATCTCAAGATTTTTCAAACGATTATCTTTCCGCGTTTCACACACGTGTACTATTTTTTTATTAGTCTCCTGTAACGTAACATACATTGGCGTAGCCAATACACATAGGTACGCCGTTCTCACTGAGCATCAATTATTACGTCGCAGAGCAGCGTAAAACCACGACGGAATTCGAATCTCACGCGTGTATACGTACACATCATCCAGATGCGTATGCACCCTGTGTGCTACATGTCACCGTCACGTTTCACAGACGAGAAAGCGTGACTCTCCCGTTTCAAACATGGACGGAGTAACGACTGCAAGGTCGATCCGTGCGTACAATTCATTTAAGGTTTGTTTTTCCCCCGAGGGGTGAGGGGAAGGGGAGAAAAGAGTCGAGAAAACGGAAGAGAGGAGAAAATGTCTCCGAAAAAAAAACAGATACATCGGTAAAGGAAGGAGAAGCTAAGTTCGCAGGCGATTGGTTGGAACGCGAAGGCGTGCGGCCGCGCCTCCGAAATGTAAGCCATGCTCTTTCTCTCTCTCTCTCTCTCTCTCTCTCTCTCTCTCTCTCTCTCTCTCTCTTTCTTCTCACGGATCCTAATAATAGAACACAGTTTGTTACGTTGATGTGGCTTGGCTGCGTAATACTCACTGGCGTAGTGTGTACACGCGTGCTGTTCCAAGGTCTACGTGGAGAGACGAGGCGACGTGTTTCAGAGCTGGAGTACGGAGTTGTATCGCGAGGTTTTTCACCTGCGACGAGGTCCGACGAAACGGAACCGTCGGACCGGGGGAACGGACTTGGCGAAACGCACTTCCCGTTACGCGATACTGTGTGGATTCGTCGTTTCACGTCGCGCCGCGCCCGACAAAAACACGTCCAGACGAGTCAGAACACCACTGTGGACTGAAACGCACGCAAACGGAACGGCGGCGCTAAGGTGCCGTGTTCGCGCTGCACGGCCGTGCGCAGGCGCGATAAACCTCTCTCGACGAATGTCGGCCAGTATTCCAGATGGAGGAACAAATTCCGCGGTAATGTCGAAGACCCTCGCGCGTAGGTCGTTTGTTACCTTATAGAAAAAATATGTAAAACAGTCTTGCAAAAAATTTGGTTCGCAATGGATAATTATCATGAATAATAATAAAATTACAAGAGAGAGAGAGAGAGAGAGAGAGAGAGAGAGAGAGAGAGAGAGAGAGAGAGAGAGAGAGAGAGAGAGAGAGAGAGAGAGAAAACAATAATAATAAAGTTATAAAAGAGAGAGAATATAATAGTAAAGCTAATAAATAACGTTAATAAAGCTAATAAATAAATATATGCGTGTATATTATCGTTTGGTATTTTTGTAACAGATTGACCGATCGTACGCTGGCGTCAGTCGATCGTTACAAGTCTCGTGAGATCGGCGAGAGATGTCACTACTAGGACGTTAGACACTTCATTAAAGTTCCGCAGAGGATAGAGGTGAGTGTATTACGAACTATTCGATTTGTGACTCGATCCGGTTCCAAGTCGATGATCTGTTTGTTTTTAGCTGCATTGCTAGCTTGCACAAATTAGCTCTTCTTTTACTGCTAAAAAACAGACTATTAACTTGGAATTGGGTCGAATCAACAAATAGAATACTTACGTTATAATCCGCAATCAATTGTGTTTATGCAAACTCATGAAATTTGCGCACATTTGTATGTCATCTGCAGTGTCATTATCACACACACATATACACATTCGTTTGGTAAGAAATAATTCCATCAACAAGACTGTGTTCGCTTTAACGCTTATATAATGCTCACAGCATCGCTTCATATGCTTGTTGTTTATCAAATATTAACGAGAATAAATGATGATAGTGTTTTTATTATAAGCGCTGTAAGTGCCAAACCGAACGCAGCCAAAGAAAAGTGGAAGCAAAGATATATCTAATTATTTTAAGAATAAGAATACAAGAAAACTCACGTTGCGCTTTCCATTAAAAGTAAAATTAAATTTGCTTATTTTTTTTCATATTCTTAAAAAAAAAACGCTTTGAGAAATCGAAAAATATGTAATTTGGTGAGAGAGATACGATACGAAATAAAATATCTCTGTTCTTATGGCGCAAATGTGCGAATAAATTTAAACGAATCGATCAACTGACAATGAGTACTTTTCACGAACAAATTCACGTCTGTAATTAGTCTGTGATGCACTTAACAATTACGTCTTTACACGACAGTTGTTTCAAACCGCTCTTGTTGTAGTATCGTTAGATTGTTTTTTTTTTTTAGTGTGATTTTGTGTATCAGTTGATAAATAAAGAAGAAAATCCGAAAGAACAAAAAAGGAAGAATGGAAAGAGAAAAAGAAAAGAAGAACAAAAAGACAATGAGAAGAAGAGTCCGTTTTTCTTCGTTCAATGACGACAACGAAAACAGAGATGACCGAAGGTATGAAGCCAGATTCATAAAGTTTATTTATGTTATTTCAGCAACACGTAAAATACATATATGTTGCGTATGAATAATAATATTTTAAGAAATATTATTATAATAAATACAGAATTGAACGATTTCTATCAAATGATTTATTACGAACGTAATAATCACGTTGACTAAAGCGTTGCGAGTTATTGACTGTTCGGAGTTATTAAAACTTTCGTCATAAAATATAAGAATATAAAAATTAAGACATATTTTTTTTGATTAATTTGAAATAGATTTTATTTGTAATAAACGGTCTTATACGGCCATGGGCGTCCGCAAAAGGGGCATTGCCTTCCCCCCCCCCCCTTGAAATCAGACGAATACAAAAAAATTTAGAAATTGCTCTCTTATTTTTACTTCTCATTTTAAGAGATAAATATGTTTGTTAAATGTGAGAGAGCTAAAGTGCAACACAGGTACACAACGTTTGGACATTTATTACCTCTAGATAATTAGTACTAAAAACTTGTATCATGTTCCCCCCTAGAAAAAATCATGCGGACGCTCTTGTATACGGCAATTTATTTCGAAATGCGAGATTTGATTAAAATACTTGGAGATATTTATTTACTATTACATAATATTTATCGTATATATTTTTTATAATATTTATTTTATATTTATTATTTATATATATAATGTGTGTGTATATATATATATATATATATATATATATATATATACATATACACAATGAATATATAAATAATATGTATAATGCTTATATAGTAATATTTAAAAAAATAATTTAGGACCATTTGAGAAAATATTTGAGAAACTTCGCAAGACATTACAATTCCACTAAATAACTTCTTAAGAGAAGAATCTTTATAGATTTTTTATTACACTTATTTGTTTCCGAAGAATTTTACTAGAGAGCTAGATAAGCAGATAATTAATATAGCATTTAAACATCATTCGTGCAATACGTTTAGATATTCAGCACTGAGAAACAGTATCGCCATTTCCTGATTCCGCATTGAACGTCCGCGACATAAATCTTTGCAAAGCATTCGTAATGTTTAAACAGTCATTATCTCTCAATCTCAATAGCGTGAGATCATCCTATAATTTCCCTTTGCTGCAGACACGATATTCCTTGGTGGAATCTTTTGATCTATTCAACACAAACAGAGTAAAACGTTCCGTATGCGGAATGCAGATCAAATGGCTCGTATCTCATTAATAGTGTCCTCGGGTAGAATTATAGTAACGGAAATGACGGATTCCGCCGAGCCTATACCGCCGTATTGTCTCGCCCAGACTTTCCTACGAGAGCGTCTCGCGTCGCGGGAACGGTGAAAGCAAAAGCGGAAATATATATCGGCGATAACAATTCTGGGAGAAACGTCGCCGATAAGCGCGAGTCGCGGCGATCGATAGAAATTGTTCGTTCCGGCGGCGGCGATTCGATTTCCTGCGGGCGGCCGGGAATTCACGCGAAAGAAAGGTACGACCGTTTTCGCTAATGCCTGACAATACCGGGACGAGCGTGGGAAACAGATGGGATTCGATTGCGATCTCGTCGTCATTTCTTATTATCTAGTCATTCTCCAGGCACTCAACGTGCAATCGTGTGTTTTATAATGAAGTCTCGATCTCTCAAGGTTTCGTGGCTAATCCCCTCGGAGGACTTCGTCTTTCTCATCGAGAGAGAGGCCTTAGGCATGTGAAGTGGACACACGCGGAATTATATTGAAATAGCGCGATGATTCTTAATGCGATTCGCATTAGATGCAAATTAGGAATTTACGAAGATATTTACGGCAAGGATTTACCCGTGAGATAGCGAGGTAATGAACGAGTTAACATTTTATCTGAAATGGACAAGCGGGAATAGGGAAGTTACTTAATTGTACATATTTAATGGATTCATGTTATCGATCGGTTATCGAAACGATAAATTATTTTACAAAGAATTTTATCCTGAAAATGTGTGAAATGATATGCATTTATTACGCACAGTATGTAAAAAGAAATAATGTGATAGTGAATTTTTGAAGTATAAAGTTTCAGAGAGAAATTTTTTAATTTGTTTATAATTAAATTTTATTCTTTAATTGACTACACAATGGACTTTATTTTAGCAGAATTATAATTAAAACTTATTAATAAGTGACATTTAGTGCTCTAATAAACTTTAATTATAATTCTACTAAAATAAAGTATGTATAATATATTACAGTGCTAATATCAATTTCCTTTTGAAGTTTTGCATTAAATGTTATGGAAAGAACGTCAAATCAAAAGAAATTTTTGGCAAAAAATATTATTTATAATATTAAATACAACTATTTCTGATTTGTACTCTATACGTTTCTCATGAAAAAAACTTCTTATTATCGTAAACAAAGCAATATGTTTTAATAATTAAAAAATCAATTAACAATGTGTGGTAAATATATCTAAGAATCAAAAGAGAGAATTTAAATATTACGGATTGATCGATCAAATTATTTTAACTCAGGCGCTTATTATTATAATCTATCAATATTAATTCTAAAATGAAATGAACTATACTACTGATATTATTATTACATCTGTTATATTTATTATTATTGTTTATTATTATTATGACATCGCAATTATTTTGATTCCGTCGCGTTTGATATCTTCCGAGAGTGAATAAACGATATAAGAAATGAGATTAATGCAAGAAAATCCAATTTGCCAAGGGAATAGTTCTTAATCACCCTCGACAATTAAATCGTGAAGTCCATTATTTCACAATATGAGGAATATTTAACGGTTACGCTTCCGTACGGTGTTACTACACAAAAGCCCATTTTGCTTAGTGATCTTTTTCGATCACTAAGAGAGACGAGGACCAGATCGAGCGAACGAAATAAGGTAATCCCGCGGTAATTGTCGATTATACTGATTTGGTAACATCGCGGAGATGTAGCTGTATCTCGCGTATTTCCGTCCGGCACGCAATCACCTGCGACTAATTGCGAGCGCGGCGATCACGTATCTAATGGCAAATCGGGGATGGGATGACGTTCCCTCCGCGTTCGACCCTTTTCTGAGGGGCAGAACTTTCACGGTGCGCTACATTCTTCGGACATTATCCCGTTTCGATCGATTTGATCGGCGCTCGGTTAATTTAACACGGTGAAACTACTTGCTGCATCGCCGTTGCCTCGAGTGTGTTCCTCTTCGCTAGGCGCCGATTTCGAAGTCAGTGACCAACACTGCCTGCCTGGCACTAATGCCACTGTTCAAATTAATTGAACATCTACGACGAACCATAAAAAATTACGATTTATAGGGTATTATAAAATAATTCTTCCTTGCAGATCGCGCTATTCATACCTATATGTATAATGAACTCGAATATGACGAAGTCTATCAATACTTACATAATCATTTATCGAGTGAAATTTTTCGATGATTGTGCATCAGCTGATATTTCGTTCGAATCTATGTGTTATGTTTTCTACAAACACTTCAAATTGAAGTAAAATTGCAGAAGATTAGAATCAGAATAAGAATAAACAATCAATAGATAGAATATATGAAATTATTAACAATTTTCTGTCTCTTTTTAAATTACAGTTTTATTTCTGCACCGATTCCTATTTGAATAAAATCTAAAAATATCCATGTTTATGAAATATTTTCCATGTTTTTATTTTGATTTTTTTTGTAATGCAAAATAGCCTTTTATTTAAATATAATTTTAATCTTCAATTATTTATATAAAATTTTATGAGTAACAATAAAAAATCATAATTAGATTATTTCTTGCCTCAGTGCTAAGTATTTGTTATGAGTGTTATGACAATAAAAACATTTCATTTTCTAGCAGTTTATAATTTTTCAGTTTTTTAATTTTGAATTTTTCTTATAACATAGGTACTCATGTAAAGAAAAAAAAAAATTGCACAAACAAGAGAAACGAATAGCAATATCAATATAATGATAAATAACGGTAATACGTCAATTGAGAGATTAAATATATTATTATAATGATTAATAAGATTGAACGGCCACAAACGAGCAATATAACTAGTTATAGAATTTACTTTATTAATTAATTTTCCAGTATTAAACACAACGAAATTAGTTTCGATCCTTACTATAAGGACTTTTTCAATTGCATTATTAATTATTATAGTGAAAATACGCATTATGTAGTAGTGATTAAAATAAAATAAATTATACAGAATTATACAGAATCGCATAAATAATCAAATAAAACAAAAGTCAAAAGTTTCGTTTTTGGTGAAATTCATTTATTGTTTTGACTATGTTTCATTTGATTATTTATGCGATTCTGTATAATTTATTTTATATTAATTACTGACTACATAATGCGTATTTACACTGATAATTAATAATGCGATTGAGAAAGTTCTAGTAAGAATCGAAACTAGTTTTACACTGGAAAATTAATTAATAAAGTAAATTTTACAACCAGTTATATTCCTCGTCTTTGGCCGTTCAATCTTATTAATTATTGTATTTACAACAACGAGCGAAATTTATTAAGAATCTAAATTATTATAATTTTATGTCCAGCTTTTATGATGAAAGTTTGCTTCAACTACAAAATACAATGTCCTACCATAAGATCTCGTAATACGGCTCGAAAGAGAGTCTGCGTCATAGCGTAGTCACAGGTACGTTACAAGTTGATCGAATCGGGTCATTGCACCTTCCCTCCGAAACCTACTTTGGCATGTGTCATGGAAGGACAGTGAAATTTCTTCATGGCGCGAGACACCTCGCGCATCGATTACACCTCTCTCTGACGCCGCGGCTAGATTCCGGCTCTGTTCCCATCACGCGGAATTTCCAACGAAGCGTGAAAATCGCGTCTCTTTTCGCGCGGCGTGAGAAGGC